AAAATAGAAAAAAAGATGTTTGGCAACTTGCAAACGTTGCGACCTGCAGCCTTAGATGAGCGCATTGCCCCAATTTGCCTACAATAGTAATTAATAGCTTTAGCTTCACGTTGGCTGTTCTCACGACAAATCCTCCTCGACCGGTTCTCGGGCAACCGTAACCTCTAAAATTGGTTAACCGATTCTTAATAATGCTTTGTTTATCCGCGCCTCTGTCCACTTCAACTCGTTAAAAACCAGTCCAAGAAGAAGCACACCAGCACGGCCAGGCAGGCGGCAATGAATTCGAAAAAGCGGGCAGGAAGAAGAAAAAATCCGCCAACGATAATGAAACCAGTTGAAGATCGGATTTATGTGCAGGAATGGGGGGGCCGCTTGCAAATAGTCACTTTTCAACAGTTCCATTTCATCCGATTCGCCTGCCGCTCGATGGTTTGGCCAAAATACCAGGCTAATGGGATGCAAACCTTGACACTGATCTTCATTTGAACCATCATTCAAGGAGGAAACTACTTGGGCGGCTGGACTATCCTCTCCGGTTGCAGCATGTGAATTTAACGGCCGTTGGAGGACTTTGGCCTTTGCGCAAATTTCCTCATCGAAATGCCAAACCTTCTAAGCTCGAGCTGAACTAATTGAAGCAAATCCCGTCATTCTCTCACTTTCAACGTCTGCACAGGTTCCTCGAGATGCCAAAGACACCTTCTCTTCGACCGACTAAATATCATTCGAAAGTAAATTTGTTCTAACGGTTTGCAAGCTCGTGCCGGCTGCAGTACCATCACGGCTTTTACTGTCTCGCTCAAACTCGTACTTCCAAATGGTTCATTGATTTTTCCATGATTTTGGTGGCATTTCTCCCAGCTGCTGAACAGTTTTTTTGTTGTTTTCCTACCCACATACTCCTCCCCTTTTTGCGGCAGAAACCAACTGCACCAGCTGGATAACATTTCCGTAACCTAATTGATATCCGGCCTCATTGATGCGTTTTTGGTGCGCGAGGGGAGCACAGCGCAAACACACGACACAGTCAACAAAGGTGTGCACGGTGCGCCAGTGGCGCACCAATCGCCCCTTGCCAGGGCACCAACCAATAAAAATCCCAATGTCCGCCCCTGATCAGGCCGCAATTTTTGTTTACCTTCACTTAACTATCACGTCCGAACAAGCAATAGCTTAATGAAAAGCAATGTTGTGTACGCTCTCGGTTAATGGGAGCGAAGTTTGCGGGAAAACTAGGCAATTTGGGGTCGGGTTTTTGAGCTAAAGGCTTCACAAATGCGCCATCAGCTCCCGATGCAGCTCAGAGTTGGAATCAGCAACTTCATGTGCTTGATCGCTCCTAAGAACCATGAGTGAACTGAAAGATTTAGCTGAAACATTCGTGTAACTTGGCAGAAGAACAGAAGCTGATCTTCAAACATACTCACAGAGTAGAAAAAGCGATTGAAAGGTCGAAAAAGCACAAAATGGAATAGCTTGTGCACCAGCCACGGTGGTTCGATTTTTGCGCCAATTTTCATTGTACCATTCTGGATAGTACCGAATCTGGATAGTACCGTTAGACGGGACCCGATGAAATAATTTATGAGAAACTGCCCCATTCTTCGTTTCTTTTACGGTTATCATAAAATTACTAATTTATATTAAAAGTTGGTCGTCGCTTTATTAACATCCGTTACGGTGAGAACCGAACTGTAAAATTCCAATTCGGATTTGTTACAACGGCCGATCGAAAACACCATCTTCGCCATCCTCATCCGATTTCGATTCTTCATTTGTTGCATTGTGCGTCCAAGGTGAAGGACCTGCACGAATGTTAATTAACTAACTAATCCAATTGAATTTGCCAGTTGGACAATGTCTCAATTGCTCGCATTTCTCCTCAAAAGTGCCTCGAATGACGCACAGAAATCAGTTTTTCAACCGCTTTTC